TGAGCTCTGGGGCCGGGCCGGTCTCAGCTGGCTCGTAACCGCCTCTTCTCTGTGGCCGGATGTACCCTACGCACTTCAGGGCACTCAGTCGAAGTTAGGCCGGGACTCCGGAATGCGCCGTAGGTCCTAAAGAGGTTATCTGGTGCGGCACCGCCAGTAGAGCAGCCCTGTCTGGTAAGAGGTCAGGGGCCAGGACCAGCAGTTAGCATACTGGCTATGTCACTGGACTCCCACATAGTCGACTGTGGTTCGAGTCCCAGACCCGGTGGCTTAAACTCACGCTGGGCGCGTGTGAGTGCGTGCCCAAGATCCTGAGAGGAGAATGAGGAGAAGGGATTGTGGCGTGGCCATCTCCCCTGGGGGGTGATTTCTCGCTTTCTGTCTGTCTCTGTCTGTCTGGCGAGCACACATGCCCTATAGCAAAAACCTCTCCAAAAAAAGAAAAAAAAGAAAAGGAAAGGAAAAAAAAAGGTCTGGGACCATAAATGGTGGAGGACTGGGAATAAACTGTCCAGAATTTGGCCATAGGCAGCGAGTCTGCGTGAGCTACTCCGGGCACGCTCCGCCGTGGTCTGCAGAGTCAGCGTTCCTCTCACTGAGACTGTGATCCCAGATACTTAGTTCGGGTGGAGGCTAACCCATAAAATTGTCACCTTAAAATGAAATTAAATCATATTTAACTGAATGATCTGGACTTTGCCCCTATTTCCTTTAATAGGCTTTATGTTTTAGAGAGTTTTTGGCTCATAGGAAAAATGGAGCAGAAGGTCCAGAGCTTTTCCATCCGCCCCCTGCCCCGCACGCCAGAGCCTCCCCTCATCCACATCCAACCCCAGGGCGGGGCGTTTATTAAAGCAGGTCAGCCTGGGGCTGGCAGGTGGCGTGGTGGTTAAGGTGCTGGACTCCCACATGGCCGGCCGCAGTTCGAGTTCTGGACCTGGAGCTTGTTGTCCTACTTTCCCTTTCTGTCTCTCTCTCCCTCTGGTCATATTAGACAGATAATAATGATGATGATAAGTGAAATAAAATAATTCTTAAAAAAAAAAAATCTGTTCAGCCTGTGCTGAGCCGTTTCTCCCAGGTCCCTAGTTCACCTTAGGGCTCCTGTTGTGACATGCGTCTGCCGTTGACAGCGCAGTGGGCATGGCTCCTTGGCCCTGGAAGTTCTGTGTCCACCCGCTCAGCCTTCCCTTTCCACTAACCCCTGGGGCCCATTGGTCTTTTTTTTTTTTAATTTGCCAGAGGATGCATGTGCACACTGCAGAGAGACAGAAAGCGAGGAAGCAGCCCAGGGGCTGTGACCGCTCGCTCGGGACTCAGACCGTGCGCTCGGCCATGTGCGGTCCAGCTGCCTCACCAGCACGCCGCCAGCTGGCCTCCCGGTGGTCTTTGTGCTGCGTCCATAGTTTGGATTTCCACCGCGTCTCGCGGTTGAACCATACAGGTCGTGGCTTTTCCAGGCTGGCCTCTTCCATTCAGTGCTGTGTGTCCGCATTGCCCCGTGTCTCTCCATTGCTTGGTAGTCTGTTTCTTCACCTGCCCTGTTTTTGTTTTTGTTTTTGTTTTTGTTTTTGTTTTTGCAAGAGGGCACATGTGCTTGGCAGAGAGAGGCAGACAGAAGGAGGAGGCGCCCTCCTGGGGGGTTCTGGTCACACCACAGTCCCCACACCTGCGTTTCTGCATGCCGCCAGGGCTTGGGGCAGTCCCACACTCAAGCCCAGTGTTTTCCAAGCTGGCCCTACAGGATCAGGCTCCCTCAACGAGGCCGCGGGTCCAGCTCCACGAAGTTTTTCCCTCTCTCTTCCTGACATTTGAAAACTAAACCCTGTTTTGCTGAGCTCAAGAGCAGAGGAGGGGAGGACGTCTCTCCATTGTGAGAAGTGAGTGCTCAGCTGTACTAAGGGCCACGGTGCCTGCTGGAATGCATGTTTGGGGGTCGGCAGTGCCCTTGTAGGAAGGCTCCAAGTGTGGGGTGCCTCACCTCACCGTCAGACGCCCCCTGCAGTGCGGGGTGCCTCATCGTCTGACACCCTGCCTGCAGTGTGGGGTGCCTCACCATCTGACGCCCCCTGCAGTGTGGGGTGCCTCACCGTCTGACACCCCCTGCCTGCAGTGTGGGGTGCCTCACCGTCTGATGCCCCCTGCAGTGTGGGGCGCCTCACCGTCTGACACCCCGTGCCTGCAGTGTGGGGTGCCTCACCTCACCGTCAGACGCCCCCTACAGTGTGGGGTGCCTCACCGTCTGACACCCCCTGTCAGCAGTGTGGGGTGCCTCTCCGTCAGACGCCCCCTGCAGTGTGGGGTGCCTCACCGTCTGACGCCCCCTGCAGTGTGGGGTGCCTCACCGTCAGACGCCCCCTGCAGTGTAGCCCGGCTTCGCAGCCCTGCTGATCTGTACCTGTCGTGGTGTGTGAAGATAAGCGTGCACAACCCAGGACCCCTGTAGCGGTCAGTCTTATCCTGCCTCTTTTTGCTCCTGGAGAAAGCTATTTCTGCTTAGAGAATGCAGTTGTATGACTAATCAAAAGGCTGGAAATCTCACCTCGGTCTCTTGATTCTACAGTTCATGATTTGGTATGGTGCTCCTCTTAAAGGAAACGGTGTAACCCTACCATTATGTAAATGTGTTCTATGAAGCTGACGCTGCTCAGCCCCCCTCAGCAGGGCCCCCCTCAACAGGGTGCGAGGCGGAAGGTGTTCCCTGGTGAGGACACCGTCTGCAGTGAGCTCTCCACTCGACCTTCCTAGCTGTCATTTCCAGCTCGTGACACAAAAGACGCTGCCGCCTTGCCTCAGGTCTGGGGCATACAGAGTAGACATACAGTGAGGCTGGGCCGGCTCTGACCCGGCTGAGGCGGCTGGGTCCACACGACCAGGCGTGGCTTGAGTCCTGGACCCGATAGCTCGAGAGAGACTCCAGACATGTGCGCGCCTGCCCAGAGCCCTGGACGGACGGAGGGAGAGGCTGCCATGTGACTGCCCTGTGGGCCGGGGGCTTCCTGGCCCGTGGGGAGTGTTTCCTTCCTTTCTCTGTGGAGAACGCACACACCCTCTACCAAAACCAAACCCCAAACCAGTGAAGTGGGCTAGCCGGTGGCATTGGTGGCTAAGGTGCTGGACCCTCACAAGGCCAGCCATGGTTCAATTCCTGGACCTGGCGGCTTGCTTTCTCACTTTCCCTCTCTCTGTCTCTCTCTGGTGAATTAATAATAATAATAATTTTGTTTTAAGAAAAAACAGTGAAGTCTGCATGACTGCCTATACCCGTATTTATGAATGCACTGTTTACTCCAGTGCGCTGCTTACTGGCGGGACTGCTGGCAGGCCGCCCTGTCCTCGAAGCAGACCGTCTGCCGTGCCGTGCAGTGTGGCGAGCAGCGCAGGGCTGCTGTTTCCTCAGGCGGGAGAGGAGGGGTGCCAAGCGCCCTGCTTTCTGACTGAGCCGTCTGCAGCTTACATGGCAGGTCAGATCATACCTGCGGGGTGCTTGGTAGCCATTCCGGGCTCGTTGCGAACGCTTCGTAATTTGTGCCTTTTGGTGCTGACCTCAGGGACCCTCTCACGAACCCCTTCGTTCATCGACAGCCATTTCTCAGTGTCTGACTCCCTCTACTCCTAACCTGTATGTGTTGAATATGGCTGTTTTATTTTTTATCTAAATTGATAATCAACATTAATGTTCCAGTTTGAGGAAAGGATATATTATAACCTTAAAGCATTCATTAAGTTACACTTTCAAGCTTCCCAAGGGAAGTCCCCATAATTAAATCAATGTAGTTTATGCTTTATAAAGAAATTAACCGCTAATAACGTCTTTAAAAACCATAAATGCCTTTTCCCTTCCCCTGAGCTAGCTGCTTAGAAACGCCACACTCCCTTTGCTTCTCTGTAATAGACTGCAGAACTGGGGCTGAGCACAGCGCCCCGGGCTGTCCTGTCGTCACTGCGCGCCTGAGGTTCATGAGCACGTTGGTGACAGCTGGGAAGGCCCGTCTCTCGGTTGTGATCTTAGGACGAAGGACTTCTGGCCGAGTGGTTAAGACACTGGGCTCCCACATGGTGAACCACGGTCCAAACTGTAGACCCCGCAGCGTGAAAATCACGCCAGGCACATGTGCGTGCATGCCCAGGATCCCAGGAGACTGGAGAGGGGATTGCAGCATGGCCATTCCTCTAGGGAGTCATTTCCCACTTTCCCTCTCTGTCTCCGTCTTGCTCCAATGAGCACACGTACCCTTTAGCAAAAACCTAAAAGAAAAATGTCCAGGCACTGAGAAAATTGTTCTGGTACACTTGTGAGGAACAGGGCTTAAGGACACACACACACACACACACACACACACATACACACACACACACACACACCATATGTTAAGGTTAAGTTTAATTTCTTTAAAAGATATCCCAGTGGGACCAGCAGATGGCGTAATGGTTACATCGCAGGACTTTCACGTAGTCTACCCTGGTTTGAATCTCCAAGCCAGCAGCCTAAAACACACTGAGCATGTGTGTACCTAAGATCCCGAGAGAAGGAAGAAGGGATTGCAGCATGGACATCCTCCCGGGGGGTGATTTCTTCCTTTCTGCCTCTCTGTGTCTCTCTGGTGAGTGTACGTGCCCTATAGCAAAAGTCTCTCTTGAAAAAAAAGTAAATAAATTTTTAAAAAAACGTGTAGTTTAAATTTGTTCTTAATTTGGTATATACATTTACAATATGAGTAAATTTGAATTTTGTGGACTTGCATTTCCATTCTGTTTTAATGTAATTGTGAGCTAGTTCTTGAGGTAACTTAGGAGAGGTAGGGGTAAGGAGCCAGGGTCTCGGTTAACAGAAAAGGATGTCAATGCCCAAGTAATCGGCCTTGAGACTTGGCCGTTTTGGGTCAGCTGACGGTGCTTGGCATCAGCGCTCTGTCATTTCTCTGGACAGCGGCGTGCTGCAGGGAAGCGTAGCGGACCACCACTCACGTAACCTCTCCCTCCGTCTCCCCTTTCTGAAGGTGCGCTTACGGAGTGCTATGACGAGCTGGGGAACAGGTACCAGCTGCCGGTCTACTGCCTGGCACCACCAATCAACATGATAGAGGAGAAGAGTGACAGAGAGACTCTGGATATTCCTGAGCCCCCGCCCAACTCCGGATACGAGTGCCAGCTCCGTCTGCGCCTCTCCACCGGCAAGGACCTGAGGCTCGTGGTGCGCAGCACGGACACGGTGTTCCACATGAAGAGGCGGCTGCACGCCGCGGAGGGCGTGGAGCCGGGCAGCCAGCGCTGGTTCTTCTCCGGCAGACCTCGCCGTGCCGTGCAGTGTGGTGAGCAGCGCAGGGCTGCTGTTTCCTCAGGCGGGAGAGGAGGGGGGCCAAGCGCCCTGCTTTCTGACTGAGCCGTCTGCAGCTTACATGGCAGGTCAGATCATACCTGCGGGGTGCTTGGTAGCCATTCCGGGCTCGTTGCGAACGCTTCGTAATTTGTGCCTTTTGGTGCTGACCTCAGGGACCCTCTCACGAACCCCTTCGTTCATCGACAGCCATTTCTCAGTGTCTGACTCCCTCTACTCCTAACCTGTATGTGTTGAATATGGCTGTTTTATTTTTTATCTAAATTGATAATCAACATTAATGTTCCAGTTTGAGGAAAGGATATATTATAACCTTAAAGCATTCATTAAGTTACACTTTCAAGCTTCCCAAGGGAAGTCCCCATAATTAAATCAATGTAGTTTATGCTTTATAAAGAAATTAACCGCTAATAACGTCTTTAAAAACCATAAATGCCTTTTCCCTTCCCCTGAGCTAGCTGCTTAGAAACGCCACACTCCCTTTGCTTCTCTGTAATAGACTGCAGAACTGGGGCTGAGCACAGCGCCCCGGGCTGTCCTGTCGTCACTGCGCGCCTGAGGTTCATGAGCACGTTGGTGACAGCTGGGAAGGCCCGTCTCTCGGTTGTGATCTTAGGACGAAGGACTTCTGGCCGAGTGGTTAAGACACTGGGCTCCCACATGGTGAACCACGGTCCAAACTGTAGACCCCGCAGCGTGAAAATCACGCCAGGCACATGTGCGTGCATGCCCAGGATCCCAGGAGACTGGAGAGGGGATTGCAGCATGGCCATTCCTCTAGGGAGTCATTTCCCACTTTCCCTCTCTGTCTCCGTCTTGCTCCAATGAGCACACATACCCTTTAGCAAAAACCTAAAAGAAAAATGTCCAGGCACTGAGAAAATTGTTCTGGTACACTTGTGAGGAACAGGGCTTAAGGACACACACACACACACACACACACACACATACACACACACACACACACACCATATGTTAAGGTTAAGTTTAATTTCTTTAAAAGATATCCCAGTGGGACCAGCAGATGGCGTAATGGTTACATCGCAGGACTTTCACGTAGTCTACCCTGGTTTGAATCTCCAAGCCAGCAGCCTAAAACACACTGAGCATGTGTGTACCTAAGATCCCGAGAGAAGGAAGAAGGGATTGCAGCATGGACATCCTCCCGGGGGGTGATTTCTTCCTTTCTGCCTCTCTGTGTCTCTCTGGTGAGTGTACGTGCCCTATAGCAAAAGTCTCTCTTGAAAAAAAAGTAAATAAATTTTTAAAAAAACGTGTAGTTTAAATTTGTTCTTAATTTGGTATATACATTTACAATATGAGTAAATTTGAATTTTGTGGACTTGCATTTCCATTCTGTTTTAATGTAATTGTGAGCTAGTTCTTGAGGTAACTTAGGAGAGGTAGGGGTAAGGAGCCAGGGTCTCGGTTAACAGAAAAGGATGTCAATGCCCAAGTAATCGGCCTTGAGACTTGGCCGTTTTGGGTCAGCTGACGGTGCTTGGCATCAGCGCTCTGTCATTTCTCTGGACAGCGGCGTGCTGCAGGGAAGCGTAGCGGACCACCACTCACGTAACCTCTCCCTCCGTCTCCCCTTTCTGAAGGTGCGCTTACGGAGTGCTATGACGAGCTGGGGAACAGGTACCAGCTGCCGGTCTACTGCCTGGCACCACCAATCAACATGATAGAGGAGAAGAGTGACAGAGAGACTCTGGATATTCCTGAGCCCCCGCCCAACTCCGGATACGAGTGCCAGCTCCGTCTGCGCCTCTCCACCGGCAAGGACCTGAGGCTCGTGGTGCGCAGCACGGACACGGTGTTCCACATGAAGAGGCGGCTGCACGCCGCGGAGGGCGTGGAGCCGGGCAGCCAGCGCTGGTTCTTCTCCGGCAGACCTCTCACCGACAAGATGCGGCTGGGGGGGCTGAGAGTGCC